CCCCCCCGAAGTGTACACGGATCTCTCCAGAGAGAACAATGTGAACTGAGTAATTTTATCTGAACTCTGCAGTGCCTCTGTGTGTTGTCTCTGGACATGCTCACCGCCCTTGCGTCCCCACCCGCATAATGTTGGCATCATTATGTGCTAGTATGCAAGATTTTTTTCATTATCACACTGTTGACCTTCAACCAGAGTTAAAAGCATGTTAGGATTTTTTTGTCTCCAAACACTTATGTGTCATTTTTCACCACTTTTATTGTCTGTCCAAACAGGTCTCACTTGTAAATGAGTCTTCGAGGCTCAATGTGACTTATCTGTTTAAATAATTGTACTATAAAGATTTTATAACTCTTGGTATAGTTGGTCTAAGTTGTAGAATAGTGGGTTGTTTGAGGCACCAACCTGTAGAGTGTTGAACATTAATAAACATCTGCACCAGACACCATATGACTATTGATTGGAGCATATTTGTGTTTCAGGAGTTTGAGAAGTTATTCCAGGTGAATGTGGAGAGTGTTCATCACATGAAGTACAACATACCCCCTCACATTCCCAAGAAGAGAGGCCCAGTCAGGTGGGAACGTTCAGTCGTGTTTTTTTACTTGAAGACTGCTGGATTTATTAGATGAATTTACTGTGAGTGATGAGTGCCAGACATAACAGAACGCTAGCTAAAACCTAAATGTAGAAAAAGGTTTGCTACAGGCTGAAAGTAGTAAAAGACTAGCTGAAAGCTAACAGTAGCAAAACAATATCTAAAAGTAACAAAGTCCATGCTCAATAATCCAGGTATGCAATCCAATATTTTTCAGTCAGGTCATCTGGACAGTTTCTTTTTTTGTGCTGAAACGTTTCCCATTCGATCCGGAAGGCTTCATGAGTCTCAAGGAAACACAACAAAACTGATTCTGCCCCCAACAGCTTACTCCAAAGTGGAACAAACCAGTTTTGTTTGTGATAATATCTAAAAGTATTGTAAAAAGACAAAACTAGAGCAAGCATGCTGAAGCAGATTTTAAATCAGTGCTTTATATCACATTTATCCACTGATGGGACACGCATCGAAGGTAATGAGGGTTTCAGTGTCTTGCCCAGGGACACTTCAACATGTGAATGACTGACTGTCGGTGCAATCAAACCCCCAACTCTTGCATTGGAGGATGACTACTTTAACCACTCCGCCATCGCTGCCTTTAATGTTTTAAAGCCCATTAGGACTTTGGGACATGTTTACGTTAGTCTAAGCCAGTCCTTCTCAAATAGTGGGGCGCGCCCCCTGGGGGGGCCCGGAGCAATGCCAGGAGGGGCGCATGTGACCCCGAGGAACATTTTACGGCAGGGAGGAGTTGTTTTTTTCGCACCATTCTCATTTTGTTAGGGTGCGTTCGGCAACTGTTTGCTAAAATCCAGCAACTCTCAGTTTTAATAATAATAAAGTTATGAACAAATATGTCTGTCTTGTCGTTTGAGGAGCCATGATTGAACCGTGTCGCTTCCCTCTGCTGCTGAGCAGCTGGTGACGCTCGTCACCTGCAGCACGCGTTAGTTACCTGCCCCACTTTCACTTTAATGTTTTTTTTGTTTTGTTTTTTGGTTTGTCAAAGCACAATTTTGATGTTTTTTAACACAGAAGTAATGTTTAATAAATGTTAGGACTCTATTATTTGCTAAAAAATCCTCAGCTCTGGACGCATTTCACCCACAGCACGCAGAACAAAGAGTAAACTCAAAGCGAGAGCGACACCTGCCCCTCTTTCACATTGACAACATTTTTTAGTTTTATCGACTGTCAAAATACAGTTTTCATGTTTTTTTATTTGTTGGAAAAACGTATGTTCAACAAATTTTAGGACTCTATTTTATGTCATTAAACAACTTGTCAGGTTGTGAGCGCGTTCCACTGGACCCACCCACACCCACACACACACACCGCTCGCTCTTGCACTGTTTGCAACTTCTCTGCTGCTCTGAAGTCCAGGTCCAGCCAAGGCTGGATTAACCATATGGGCAACTGCCCAGTGGCCCATGATCTCTAAGGGGTCCAGGGCAGTGAGGGCACAAGCAAAATATCTGGTTATCTCCTGCTTTACTTGGAGTCCTGCGCTGCACAGAAACTGCTGCGCTTCCACTGCATTTGTGCAGCCCCGCCTCCTCCCAGCCCGGCTGCTGCAGCTCTCGTTTTTTTTTTTTTTTTCCAATCGGATCCTCGACGGCGCGACCTGTCAATCAACTCAGAAGGCGTGTCAGTAACTGACCAATCAACAACCTCAATTTGTCCCGAAGGTAAACGCCCCTTACCTGCTGACAAGCTCATAAGGTTTTTTTTTCTTAAGAAAC